AGAGAGAGATCGTTGCAGTAGTTGAGGTTTTAATTTGGCGCGCAAGTTTTGTTTGAAAGGTTAATTTTCTAATAATTTTTTAAAATTTTCGTTTGATTTATTAAAATTCATCATTCACGTGGTATTGTAGGCTAGCGCGTCTTGGATCATCTTTTTGCTATTTGTCATTTTTTAAAATTTACTGTTTATAACGGCTATGAAGTGACTTGAATGGTTGAGGTGGCTAAGAGGTACACCGATTCAGCATTTCGGCGAAAGGGTTGGGGCCTCGAGTTTTGCTGCGAGTGTGGTTTTTGTCCTCTATTATGTGTGTTATTATGTGTATTCTTATTTATGTGTTGTATTGCGGGGGTCTGTGCTTGCAGACCCAGATCAGAGGAGGCAAAGTGTGTTGGTGTCTAGTGTATGACGAATATGGTCATCGGGACGTTCAGAATAGCATGTCTGCCAGACGAATTAAGGGGAAATTAATGCGGATGAAACCTTTTCTTGTCTCATAAGTATCTAGAGCCTGGTTCTAGGGCATTCTAATTCAATTTTGGTATCTTTGATTATGACGCCAGTTCGAAGGGGCGCTCACCCACCCATTCCGGAGTAGCATATTAACACCATCATGTAATAAAATATTTATGAAAATATATGTAATAAAAATTGAATAATCAAAATAAAGAGGTATTTAGTATTTTCTAATTAACATACATTCAGAAATATTATTTTCTTCGAAGTTTATGAAACGCCTGAATATTGAAAACGTAAGGAAGTATTTGACTCACATATTCTAAATACAGTAAGTAAAAGAATTTAATAAATATTTGTTTTACATCTTACTTATTACTTTGAATACAAATTTAAAACTGAATTTGGCTTCGCGTCTTGATTTTTCAAATTCAGAAAAAGGAAGGCCATTTTCTCGCGTGGAAAGACGGTAACACCAAGGACGTCCAGTGTTAACCAATAAGCAGTTTTATAAATATTACAGTAATTTTGTTTGTTAAATCGGTTAATCCTACCACGTTTTTTTATACACATACACCATT